TTTTTTTTGCCCCCCCCCCCCCCCCAATACAAGTAGTGACCTAAGTCGAAAATTTAGTTCCCAAATCGTTGCAATATTTTACTCGAAAACTGTTTTTTTCCTTTTGCGAAGCAGTGGAGGCATACCGAGAAGTTCATGTTCAATTTCCCGCGGCCAAAAACCCAAAATCGATATAGATTTGAACAACAACTTTATGATATTTTTGTTCCTAAAAGAAAAAGGAAAATATTAGGGATTTGAACACTTACAGAGGAGGGGGAAAAAACCTGTCAAGCGTCGATCTGTTATATGAATGGTTAAGTAATTCTATGAATGGTTAGGATGGATGAAGCTTGTTATCTCCTCCATTAAGCAGCGAAATCGTTATTGGGCAAGAAATAGAAACCGATTGAGATTCACATTTTGGGGAAATTTTAGCAGAGAGTGATTTTAGAGAGAGGGGGAGGGATTTCTAGAGAGAGGAGGGTTTGGGTGTCTTCTGATTTCGGTTCTTTTAATTAATTAGTATATGTGAGGATTTTTTAATTTTGTTTTTTATTTTAAATTAAAATTTCTAGGGTATAGTAGCGACTCAGTCGCTCCAAATTATCTTTAGCGGCGACAAGTTAAAAGTCACCACAGATAATATGGTGCCAAATATTTTTTTAGCGGGATCGAAAATTTCAACGACATCAAAGGCATCAAAGGCAACCTCTCAAAAAAGTCGCTGCTAAATATTTATCTTATGTAGCGACCTTTAATGTCGCTGCTAATGCTATAAATGTTGTAGCAACTTATAGGGTCGTCGCTATATGTTGCCACTAAAAATCTAAATTCTTGTAGTGTTTACTAGATACCCATACACTTTGTGACATCAGGTCTTGGCACACACTAGTAGAATATTTAGATTTAAATTTTGGTCTTGGTTGTTTTAATTTACTAAATTCCTTCAAGTAAGAAGAGTTTAATTACTCGGTTAATTTTAAAAAGAATTGAATATGGGTTTAAATTACTAGTTGGCTTGCCTAGCTATAGTGTTTGGCGTAATCATGACCTATATGTAAAATGTGTCAGTAACAATAATCATCGCCTTTATCCTTGGGTGCAGCAGTTCGCCATGAAATCTTCCATCACTTTAACACGCTTTGCAATCATAGTGATTTGTTCAGGCGGCAATTCTGCCCAGTTTGCCATAGCAGAAGTGGGTGGAAGATGAGGATGTAAGGCGGCTTCTAGGGCACGAATTTGTAAGGCTTAAAAAAAACAATTCGAGGCATTTATAACAACTAATCAGGACAGTACATTCCTATATTGACAAGGAACATGTACACTTTTTAGTACATATTCACAAAAATATGTAGTCAAATTGACTTCAAACAACACTAAAATAACGCATTAAACATCAACTAAATTATTGAATATACTTCTCATATTAATATTTAATTTACATCAATTAGTAGTTTACATTAACAATCCGACGATTATCATCTTCCTGGATTTTCTCGGTCAAAGTCTAGCGCACATCTAATCAGCATGAATGCTATACTAACTCAGCTACTACAAATTCCGCCAGTAATTTTCGGCCAAAAATAAATTAAGTAAAAGTTAGAAGGCCAAGAAAGTATAACAAATTATACTAAATGTCAAATGACTTGACACACTTAGCGTATAAACAAAATACATAAAATTTAAACGGAATTTCTCCAATAACTAGATGTAACTCCACCCCACATACACATCTTATTACTACACGAAGACACATCCAACAACAAGATTCACATAAGATAATAGTACTTATACTGCCCTTAATGATCTCATTGATGATTCTTCTTACAATTAAGGCAAAATAAAATACAAATAAAAAGTTACTTTTAATAAAACAGTCAGGCTAAAAAAATCATATATGTAATATAATCACACCCCAACTCTTGTCCTAAAAAGGATAAGCGATCGATAGAAATATAACCTAGCTTACGAGTCCAGGGTCGAATCACACAGAGAACTAAGACTTAGTTATAGCTATTTAATATCCCTAAGAAAACAAGTTCAAAATATTTTCGAATGATAAAGATTAAGATTTTTGTTTTAAATTACTTGACTAAAATAATACTAAAGTAATAAGATTATTAACTAAAGAGAAATATGTGAATTGAAGGGGAAAAAAGCCTAGGATTATGATTTCCTTAATTATCAGGATGAATGCTTAACGTGTTCAATATAATCACGTCGATTATTCTCAATTGATCGTAAGTTCTCCTATTACCACAATTATCTTTCTATCAAAAGCAGTAATTTTCTAGAATTACTCTCTCGAACTAACCCTAGCTAGCAATTCAAGCGACTCACAAAGATCATGCCAAAGCTTCATTATCTCTAATCCCACTTTTAAATCCAACTAATTAATCTCTTAACTTACTCAGAAGTGACATTGATCAACAACAACCTAATCAAGTATTCTTTTTCAAGCAACACATGATAAATAGCCACAGTTAATCGATGGCCATTCAATTAACAACAAGAGAAACATAGTTGAACAAATAGATTATAAAAATGGCTAATTATAAATAACATGGTCAATAATTCACCCAATAATTAATTCAATCAAAACGCTAGAAGAAAGGTTTAGCTACTCATACTATTATTCAAAAACACATAAACCATTGTCAGACCAAAATCCATAGAAATAAAGTTAGAAAAGTAGAGAAAAACTCTTCGATTCGTCTTGTGGAATGGACTTGAGGATCTTCCGGACTCAATTTTACTTCAACAATGGTGTTCATTGCCTTCTCATGCTAAGAATGCGGCTGAAATAAGGGTTAGAAGCTTTTATATCACGTCCCTAAGTCAAATGACTAAGTTGCCCCTCAAGATAAAACGCAGGCAAATTTGCACTTGTGCTATAGCTGTGCTTCACATAGGGTTTCGTTGAGTTTTTTAGATTTTTCTGTGCCTTTCCTGTACTTTCGAAGTTACTTCACTGCCTGGGTCCGATTTTCCTTTCCTTAGAAATTGCCTTTTAGCTTCATTAATACTCAAATCACCTTTAATCTTCACTCTACGCTTCCTATATACTAACAAACTTCAATAATTAAGCTCAATTGGTCATCTTTAAACCTTCAAAATACCTAAAAACACATCAAAGTAGGGGTCAAACATATTCTATTACATATAAATCTCACATATTATCATAATACATCTTGGCCCAACTCATTTTGACCTTGACAAGTTAGATCGTCATGATTGGTTCATTGACTCATCTNTATATATATGTACGCACAATGTAACATATGACCAGGGCCAGCTTTAATTTTATTCCAATCTGCCTTAGGCCCCCAAATTTTGGGGACCCATTTTTAAAAAATAATAAGTTTATAAGGTATTTAAAAAATAATATTTAGTATCTTTCATAAAAAAAAAATTTCTATAACAGTTGCCTCAGATTAACAATGTCTCAAGATAAATTAAATGGATTGTCTATATTATCAATTGAAAATGAATTATTAGAGGAAATCGATTATAAAAAAAATTATTAACAACTTTGCATCTCGAAGAAAAATAGAAAAATAGACTTCAAATAAAAATATATATCATAACTTTCTTTTAAGAATTTAGGTCTCACATTAAACTTTGGCTTTAGGTCACTATATACGGTTAAAACCGAGCCCACCCAATTTTTTTATCTGACCGGGACCAGGGAATTGCATAGAAGGTCGGCCCCATAGTGGATCAGACCAAGGTATGAGAAAAAAGTACCAAGTTCGGGATTTAAGATACCTGTCGAGATCGAGGCCAGCAGCAATCGAGACCGAATAAAACATGCATCGAGCAAGATCAAAGATAACATAATAACGGAAAGGCAAAATATCCATGACTGATCGAAGATCATGGCGGAAATCTCGGAACGGATCAAATTAGGAACGGTTAATTAGCTAATCATGGGATTTTCTTTTGTAATTAGAGTTATACCATAAGTAGAATTCTTCTATTATATAAAGGGGAGTATTAACCATTTGTAGGGACAGATTGTTCACAGATATAAAAGTAATATAATTCTCTTTCTCGTTTATACTATTGTTCATCAGCTTGTTATATTGTTCTTGCATCAACCAGTTCGAAGGTATCCAAACTCGAGGGCTGAGTTTCATTCAACACTGGTTTGCTTTACTTTATAGTTCATTTCTGTTATTGATCTTCATATTTATCAATTGGTATTAAGTGAAATCACGTAGCCTTAGAACCTTATTATAAGTTTAATTGTTATCCAATTTTAAGGGTAAACAGTTTGGCGCCCACCGAGGGGATAAGGATAATAGTAATTGCTTAATATTGATTCTGATAACACACACTGCTTTACACTTGTTCTCGTAAGAATCTTTGTTTTCAGGATAAACATGTCAAACTCACAAGCAGCGCCTACACACGGTGACAACGACCTCGGATTTCACGGGGAAAATGATAATATAGCCGCCCCAGGGATCGAGGCGCCTCAGGATGACCTCGAGGGAGCACCAATTGCAAATCCCGTCGATGTCAGTTCACATGTCGCCCTAAATGTAAATTTGGGCGTTGATCCCGAAGGTAGCATATGCAGGGAAGTTCGATCAGGTGGTCGAGGTACGCAGGGCGGAGAAGATGGTGGAGTTAGCCTCCAATTGATATTCGAAATATTACAGGCTCAACAAGCCGCTATAGCACAACTACAAAATAAGCACCGAACACCGAGTAGGATCGAACCAGAAGTCATCTACAGGACCGAGCCTGTGCCGGAAAGGTCAAACGCCAAAGAATCAGGGACTGACCCCGCCATTATAAAAATGCTCGAAGAGCTCACTAAACGGATTGAATCGGGAGAAAAGAAAATCGAGGCAAATGACAAGAAAGTAGAGACATAAAACTCTCGGGTTGACCAATTATCGGGGGCACCACCAATTCTAAAGGGTATGGATTCAAAGAAATTTGTACAGAAGCCTTTCCCTCCAAGTGCGGCTCCGAAACCCATTCCGACAAAATTCCGAATGCCAGAAATTCCTAAGTATAATGGGACCACCGACCCTAATGAGCATGTCAATTCTTATACATGCGCAATAAAAAGGAATGACTTGGAAGACGATGAGATTGAATCTGTTTTACTGAAAAAATTTGGAGAAATCTTGTCAAAAGGAACAATGATATTGTACCACAATTTGCCACCTAATTCTATCGATTCCTTCGCCATGCTTGCAGACTCCTTCGTAAAGGCACATGCCGGAGCAATAAAGGTTGCAACTAGGAAGTCGGATCTCTTCAAGGTGAAACATAAAGACAACGAAATATTGATGGAATTCATATCTCGGTTCCAGATGGAACGCATGGAACTACCATCGGTCACAGACGATTGGTGTTCAAGCCTTTACTCAGGGTTTGAACGAATGAAGTTCGGTGGCATCACTACAGATAAAACAAAATTTAATTGAATATCCAGTGGTAACCTGGGCCGATGTACATAATTGGTACCAGTCAAAGATCAGGG